ACATTCTGTTCCAATTTTGAGTGAGAAGAATCTTTGGAGCATGATCTAGGTGGCTCGAAAGAAAATTAGCATTGATGTCATATTGACCTGATTTGTCCCATTCAAGAACAATATTTGGGATGTTAGTAAAGTACAAGATAAATATGCCAGTAGTAATCATAAATTATTAAAATTAAAAAAAAGATTTTATTTTATATTCGTGTTGTGTTTAAAATGATCAAAAATAATACATCATGCATTTCGTAATACTTGCTCGATTATCTTTACATTGACAATAACAACAACGATTAAAATTTTAATATTGAAAAAAGGTACCATTGACGAATAAAATAAAAAAAAAGCTAACAGATACACCCAGAATTGCGTGAGATAATGCAATCTAACCAAAATTTTTTTTTTGCTCCATTATTTATGATCGTCACTATATTAACGCTTTTACTGAGATTTTCCTCTCTACGAGTGTTTCTACGAAAACCATGTCAAATATATATTATTTAATGATGTATAATATAACCGAAAAAATAACTGGGTTTGAATAATTAATTTTAGGCATATATACTTTGCATTTTCTGGATATTCTCAATTTTACTCAGTTTCTCTTACTAGCTCGTCTAATGGAAGTTCCAATTCACATCTTCTAGCTTCTATCTGATTCTCGGGTAATGATCCATGAAGAAATTGCTGTTTAATATAGACTTCATTATTATTATATCCAATAAGTGTACTGTCTTTTTAGATTCAAATAGAAGAGTTTTACAGAATCTGGACCTTGGATCATTCGCTTAATAATTAATTTAAATTCATTGAACATATTTGAAACATTATCCAAGTGTTCTACTATTTCATTTATAGGATTTTCAACCTGAGTCTGATAGCTTCTTTTTGTTATCAAGTATTAGATTTCTGAAGAATAATACTTTGAATACATTGCTATTATGATCTATACCTTCTTTTTGAGCCAGTACTTTTAAGTTCTCAAATAACCTCATGTACATTGACCAGGTATAATTTTTATCGTGATGTTTTACCCTAGTAGTTTATCTCATTATAATAATATAGTATTTAATTCTGTACTTTTTAATACATATTAATAAATGTCACAGATCATAATGAAATCGGATTAAATGAAATGTGGGTTTCTTCAGAGTAAAAAAATAAGTTTGGTTGGATCACACGATTATATTCTGTTGTACAGTTAGTCAATCAGATTT